GCTAAGATTCTTGACGGTCCACTTTATACACAACTTGACCGGTACATAAACACTCATGACAATCAATTTGGTTTTAAACCGGGACTGTCTACTGAGTCAGCTATCTTGTGTTTAAAGTAAACTGCTAAGTATTACTTTGAAAGGACCACATATATTTTTGCCTGTTTTGTCGACCTCTCAAAGGCGTTCGAAATGGTTAGCTATTTCATGTTATGGCAAACATTAAAGAACATCAATGCCTCTCGAACTGATAGAAATCTTTAAGTACTGGTATTTTAACCAGATCAACGTTGTTCGATGACCGAGTGATCTGTTGGAGCCGTACCGGTTGGAGTGCGGGGTGAGGCAGGGAGGGCTGAACTCTCCAAAGTTCTTCAACCTGTACGTGAACGCACTGATAGAGGAGCTCAGCAGCACCCGTGTAGGCTGCCATATTGACTGATACTTCTGATGTACAAAGATAAATGAAGTGTAGAGTTATTACATAAAAGGCTTTTTTAAAATATAATAGAATAATTTTCATTCAATAAAGTACTATAACCACTGGTTCGGAGAAAACCTCTGTTCTGGGCAGAACCAGTAAGAAACTCAGTGGGACATTTTTTTTAAATAGAATTAGTTTACAATATATCACATCATACAATCATGAAATACACAGACTACAGATAAAAACAGAACTCATCAAATATAAATTGTACTAAGACTAATTTAATAGCTGAGAATAATAATTAATTCGTTTCCACTAATTAATTAACCGAAGAGTTAAGGATGAGCTAGTAACGGAATACAACAAGTGCACCGTACCACGCCAGGAGCCAAGACTGTCTTAAGGAGTATCCCTGACCAAAATGTTGCGAAAGTGCGTTTTTCAGACTCTATTATCTCATTAGTTATGAAAAATAAACTTCATCTAAAAGTACATTATTAATGTACGATATCTTATCATCAGATTCCACGTTCTAATTTATTTTTATATGATATAAATACATTTAAAATCAACTTTTAAAAAATGACTAAAATTCTTGATTACATGCATGCATACTAAACGCAACGCTCTAATAATTTGAGGATTACACTAATGGATAGATAGTTAAAAAATCTATATTCTCCACGTTTTATTTAAATTTTTAAGTTCGTTTTTCTTTTTTAATTGAAATAATTCCGAAAATTGTGTGACTTCTACGATAAAGGGGCGTGCGCAGAGTGCGGGCGGCATTACGCTGTATGCGTCCGTACGAGATGGCCGTCTGCCGTTCGACGTTCCGTATTTCGCCGCAAACATAATATTATTTGAGTACCTACCAACCGATGCGCTTACGTCACGGTAATATTATCTATACAGTATTGTAACTCGGCCGTATCTTTGAAATAAATCCTACAGCCGTGCGGTACGTAAACATGCGATGGGGCTGCCTGCCTCCAGCATTTTTACATTTGCCCATTGATTTATGTCTTGTATAACTCAATGCATTTGCCTACTTTGTGTTTCCATTTAGTTTTATAGTTATAGTTAAATATACTTTTTTATATAAACAAATATATAATAGGTACTTTGTGAATTGAATAGGAAGTGTTCAATAAAAATGCGTGTCGTTTTTTGATTGGTAGATTTAAAACCATGTTTATATTTGAATAACAAATCGGTCTTATAAATTTGCGGCCGAAAAATATTTGCGCCTCGGCTGTGACGTACAAAATGCTTTATTATTAAAATTTTAAGTATAAAAAATCCGCATTATAATATAAAGCTTAATTAAAAATTGTTTTGGGAAACATGGACAAGTTGGAGTAAAGGAATATCTTTTACTTGGTTATGGATACCTGCAGCTACTATACAATTTATATGTTTGGTTTTAAATGAAGATTAGATTTATTATTTTTTATTTCTATTATAGTTTCTGAAAGGGTCCTAGGAAAGGAATTGTCCACGGCGCTACCCCAATGCGTGTTGGTGAACTTCGCATGTCTTCGAAATACTTTTTTTCTTATTTCTCAGACATGCAGGTTTCCTCGCAATGTTTTCCTTCACCACTGAGCACGTGGTAAATCAACATTTAAAATTGCAATTACAATTTCATTGGTGCCGGCGGGGATCGAACCCGGTTTGCTCGCGCACTGTGAAAATTTCAGCAAGCGCTAATCATCTGAGCTACCACGGCTCCTCTCCTCTCGAGCTAGAGACTTTATTTTATTTATGGCACGATTTTTGTCGCATGCCCGCGCTTACTTTTAGTTCTGGCAAAAAGTAGTGAAACGTGTGCGAACGTAAGAATTGTGCAAATGTTGGTCGCAGATATTTTACCTGCACTTCAAAATTTTATTGTGTGAGTATTTTAAACTATTTTTACGGATTTGATGAACCATATTAAATAAAAAATAGTCTTCTATCTTTCTCTCTATGTTTTGATCTCCTAAAACGAGTTTGAGTTGGTAAAATCAAGGCAACCTTATGGAAGGGTTGTCAATTATTATTTTGATAATAAAACTAGTGAAATTCCGCGGTTTTATATGCGCAAGCGTGAACGTAGTTAGAACATAATATAACGTTTATGTTTTACATAAATATCCTAAAAAAAATTATTATTTTAATATGTGTTATTACCTATAAAATTAACAAGTTTATTACATTTTTCTTTGAGTATTTTTTATGCAATTTCTCTATCTACGTCTATTTTCAGGAACCTTTATTTAGTCTAAATCATACATAACACTATAATACTGATTTACTTACTTATACGTAGTTTTCTTTTTTGCTGTTACAAATATCTTGTGAGGTTGAAAAAGGCAGTAATGAAAAAATAATAAGAAGAATAATAATTGACGTCAGCCACTTCTTTTCACAAAAATTTCAAATCATGGTCCATTAGGTTGCAGCTTCACCGAACCACAACTTATAATAATAATAGTAACAATAATAAACTCGGTCGTTTGGTCTCCCCTGCCGAGGGCCTCCATCTGGTTGGGCTTTTATTTATATATGTATTTTAATATTTATTTTGTGTTATTGATATTTATGTATATTTATCTTTTTTATTTTCATTTATGATTATATATTTATAGAACCCAACCAGATGAGAAAACTATATTGATACCCCGCAATAACAATAATAATATAATATTATTTTGTATTTATTTTATTTTATTGATATTTATGTATATTTATCTTTTCAATTTAATTTATAATTTTTATATTTATAAATATTTATAGAACCGAACCAGATGAGAAAATTATATGGATACCCCAGGAATAATATATATATATATATATATATATATATATATATATATATATATATATATATATATATATATATATATATATATATATAACTACTTATATATATATGGGTGTATGTATGCACATATGTGTTCATTTAATAGCTGCAGCTGTTTATAATTTAAGGAAGTTAAAAAATTTGTAATCAATTTCTTACATTCAAGATCATAAAATTGACTTTATATTTTATTTTGTTCTATTTATTTATACCCACCCAGTATTACCAATCACAAATAATCATTATATCTCATTAGTTATTATAATTGGGTAAAAATATCTATTTAGTTACTAATGCTATATTTATTATTTTAATAATTACCTACCCAGTAGGTAAATATTAAAATAATAAATGTAGCATTGTAAACAGAAAATCTCCCTCAAACTCAATTTACTAATATTATTCCTAAATAAGGAATAGCGGATAAAAGATTAGTAGGTTCTCTATTGCTCCTCAAAATTATATTTGACCTCAAGGTAAAACATATCCTAAAATTCAGTAGCTAAATAAAATAATAATACCTACTATTCAAGTATATTTCCAATATGTAAGTAAATGAAAATAACAAAAATGAAGCACCATTAGCATGTAAAGTTCGAATCCATAATTAACATTTGGACAAATATTATAATTTACTCTATAAAAAGCTAATTCAATATTACCAGTATAGTATATAGTTAAAATAATCAAAATACTCATTTTTATTAATTAGATAATAAAGCTGCTTTACCTCTAGCGAATGACCTTGAGTGTTTGGCCTGCCGACGCTCTCGCTAAAATATATCGCGTAGAAATCTGCAAGACGCCACCTACTGGTACGAACGTAGTATTAATTTATCAATGTCAATGAACTATTTTATGGAAATAGACACGGCAGACAATAATATGTGTATTTTAATTTTATTTATTTGGTATATCAGTTGCATTATATTAGAATTATGTATTCTCATATATTATATAAAGGAGAGCTTAAAAAAAGGCGTAGAGAATTGACGACCCAATCGCTCGCTGACGTAACGGTTATGTGACAAAACCGCTACGTCAGCGCAGTCAGTCAGCACCTTGCCAAGAGGTGTTAGTGCCGTGCCTCGGCAAAAATTAAAGGTGGAAAGGCACGATTGTGCACATGGCCTCACCATGAAACGACGCCGGGTCTGGGCGTCTCCCGCTGGATGACTGGATGGATGGATGATGGAATTAAATATAACGCGCAAAGGGCCGCTGCCTAGAAGTTGCCAGGGCGCGTCTGGAGCTGGCGCTGGACACAACAGCATGTGAACCGCCAGCCGAGCGCGAGGTGCTGCACGACCACCCAGCAGCCCCTCGCATCCATCATCCCCACCATCTGGCTTGGTATCGGCAGGGTCTTTGCGGGCCCAGCAATCGGCACCCGCCACTAATGGAGTATGCAGCATGCGTTGGACAACCCAGATGAACAGCAACGCATTACGGGCGTATTTTAGGGCGAAAGGGGGAGAAACTGGAGGTTTTGCGTATAGGGCAAGGATGCATCGACTTTTTGCTGAGCTGGAGCCATCTGTAACTGAGTTCGGTATATCTTGCACTCAAATATATTTGATGTTACCGAACTCGAACGGCTACGACGTGAGGCTGTTCCTTCATCGGGTGAAAATGCTGCGGCTGAGGATGCGGCGCCACAACTTGTTGAGCAAACGGCAAATGTGGATGCTGCCATGAACACGTCAGTTGTGGTTGATTCAGATGATGATGGAACAGTCAACTAGAGCAAATGAGGAATACATTGGAAGAGGCGATTGTGGAAACGCGCAGTACGCCTCTCGAAAATCGACCGCGACTTCTCCGCTTAGCCCTAAGCAAGCGGAATCGGACTGTCGTGAGGGCTCTGAACCCAATGCTGGTTACCTATTTGGAAGCCAGCCGGGACCTTTGCGAGACGGACTCAATTTGCTTACAATTACAATTTACTTATCGCAAAGGCTAGGGCCCTCATCGGCAGACTGGTATGCTTTAGGTCAGGCAATACCAGGCCAAGGATTGTGCGCACCGTCAGGATGGCGTTTGCTGGGACAAATGTTAGTTTGTCCCAGCCGGATATAATGCAAAATCTGACGCAGCGCATAGACGACCTGAAGCAAAGAATCGCTGCTTAAGGAAAGCGGATTCGGCGATATACCGAGAGATCGACACGGTTCAACCAGAATCGTCTCTTCCAGAGTGATCAGAAGAGGCTCTATAAATCATTGGAGCGACCAATGGTAAGTGGAACGGGCCCAGCACCGAATCAGGCCGACACATTCGCATTCTGACGCAGCCTGTGGTCAAAGCCCGTAAACCACAGTGAGAGCCCTTGGACGGAAGTTGTGGCGAGTCAGTGTGCGGGTATAACGCCCATGGACCCCGACATCATAACGCCCGATGACGTAGCTGCGGCGGTCCGTAGGGCCCCGAACTGGAAATGTCCGGTGCTTGACGGGCTGCATCACTACTGGCTGAAGGGGTTCATGGTGTGTCACGCTGTGCTCGCCCGACAGTTTCAAGAGGCTCTCAACCAGAAGTCACTCCCAAGCCCCTTTACTACTGGGATCACTCATTTAGTTCCTTAAGACCAGGTTACCACAGACCTGAGAAAATACCGCCCCATCACGTGTCTACCGACCATATACAAGACACTAACATCCATTTTGAGCGCGTGAATCACTCGTCACCAGGACTCAAATCAGGTGATGTCGCGCGCTCAAAATGGATGTCGGGGCGGCGGTCGTGGAACCAAGGAACCACTCTTCATTGACGCGGTCAATGACAACGTGGTGAAACGTAACCGTCGGAACTTCTCCGCCGCCTGGATAGACTACAGAAAGGCATTTTACTCGGTGGCCGATACTTGGCTAAAGAGGGTCCTCGAGCTGTACAAGATTGACTGTACAGTTCGAGACTTCCTCGGGCAGTTTATGGGGCAGTGGAGTACGATCCTATGTCATCTAGGCGAACGGATGACGGCTACGGAAAGCCGCATAAGGATAAGAAGGGGTATATTCCAGGGCGACTGTCTGAGTCCAATCTGGCTCTGCCTCTCTTTGAACCCTCTCAGTACTTTACTGGAGGGCTCCGGGAGTGGATTTCATTTTCGGAAAGGAGGTACAAAAGTGACCCACCTTTTCTATATGGATGACCTCAAATTATTCGCCTCCAGTCGCTCCCATCTTATGGAATTGCTAAACATCACTTGTGAATTTAGAAATTCTATTAGAATGGAGCTGGGGATGGATAAGTGTACGGTCCTCCATGTTGAAAGGGGATGGGTTGCTAACTCTGAGGGCATAGACTAATCTATGCTCGTCAACTTAAGGGCCCTTTCCGAGGCTGAAACATACCGATACCCGGGTATGTCACAGAACATCGGTATCGATGAGGCTGGTATGAAACAGTCAGTTTGCGACGTGTTTTATGCACGCTTGACCAAAGTGCTTAACAGCCTTTGGTCCGGTGTGAATAAGACACATGCATATAACGGTTGGGTCACGCCCGTACTCAGGTGGAGTCAGACTGAACTCAACGCCCTGGAAAGAAAAGTCCGCACTACAATGACGTCCCATAGGATCCATCATCATCCGAGATCGTCGATAATGAGGCTGTACTTGCCGCGAAGCATGGTGGGCGTGGCTTCCTGAGCACGCTCACCATGCATAATCGCGAAGTGTGCAGCCTCCGTCATTACTTCCTGGCGAGATCGGATGATCCATTCTATAATGACGTCATTTCTAGTGATAAAGGACTTTCCCCTCTATCCTTAGCCAACGAGCAATGGCAAAACCCGGGAGTACAGAGCATTTCCGACCAGGAGACAGTATGGAAGGAGAAGGAGCTCCACAGGAGGTTCTCCACAGGGCTCTACATGAGCCTCACGTAGATACAGCCGCCTCCCTCAACTAACTAAGTTTCGGTAACCTCTTCGGGGAAACCGAGAGTTTTGTCTGTGCAATACAGGATCAGGTTATTAAGACCAACAACTGTCGGAGACACATCCTAAAGGATGGCACTGTCGACGTCTGTCGAGCTTGTCGCCATCCCGGGGAGTCACTTAGGCATGTCATCTCCGGTTGTTCGGCGATTTCTAACTCTGAGTACTTGCACAGGCACAACCTATTAGCCAGAATTCGACACCAGGAGCTCGCTCTGAAATACGGTCTCGTGGACCGAAAATTGCCGTATTACAAGTACTTGCCGGAAGCCGTGCTCGAAAATGACCGCGCCAGGCTCTACTGGGACCGGGCCATCATCACAGACAGGACTATTCTTGCGAATAAGCCTGATATTGTGCTGATGGACCGGGCACAGTCAAGGATATTTTTGATCGAAATTACCATTTCGCATGACGAGAACTTCGTGAAAGCCGAAACAGAGAAACGAACAAAATATCTGGACCTGGCTCACGAGGTGACCGACATGTGGGGTATTATGCCTACCGAATTAATTCCTGCAGTCGTCTCTGCGAATGGGCTAATCCCAGTCAGCATCTCGGGTCATCTGAGCGATTGGGACTCCGTTACGAACCGCTCCGGGCTCAAATGCAGAAGGCGGTGCTCCTCGATACCGCCCGCATCGTCCGCCGGTTTCTTTCCATTTCCCCCTAACCCCGGCGGTTTGGTCTCCCCTGCCGCGGGCTCCCATCTGGTTGGATCTTATTTATTTATGTAGTTTTTGTATTTAGTGGATTGCAGAGGCCCGTCTGGCTACGTTGAATGTATGTGGGGCAATGAATGATAAAATGGATGAAGTATGCGATATAATGTATGATAGAGGAATAGATGTATTATGTGTAAATGAGACGAAAAGGAAGGGGAAGGATGTCACTGCACATGGCATGTATACCGCATACTGGTCTGGTGTAGACGAGATCGAGCGGGCATGCCAGGGAGTTGGTATCATCCTTTCAGAAAGAATGGGCCAATGTGTGAAAGAGTATGAATGTGTAAGCCCAAGACTGCTATGGATACGAATGAAAGTGGGCTTAAAGAAGTTGTTTGTGTTAGGGGTCTACGCCCCAGACATGTCTAAGCCCACTTATATCCGGGAGCAGTTTTGGGAAATGGTAAGGATGGTGTTAATGAAGTGTAAGGTAAATGAAAATATTATTATGCTAGGAGATTTTAATGGAAGGGTTGGGGTGAGGAGGCTTGGTTATGAAAGGATATTGGGAACGTTTGGTGATGAAAGTATAAATGAGAATGGTGAAATCCTCCTCACCGTATGTGTGGAAAGGAATCTTTTTGTGACGAACACTTTCTTTCGTCATAAGAAGATTCACATGTATACTTGGGAAAGAGGTGATGATAGAAGCATGATAGATTTCATAACTGTGGATGAAAGAATGAGGAGCGCAGTGGTGGATACAAGGGTTTACCGGGGGTCCAACGTAGGGACGGACCACTACCTGGTCTTATGCCGAATTAGGGGTTTATTAAGACGTTGTCGGCATAGGACATCTGTGTCTACCACTGCGTTACAGCGTATAAGAATTGAGAGGTTACAAGATGAAGATGTGAAAGACAAGTACAAATGCAGACTGAGAGAAAATATAAGTAATTTGGATGAGTTGTATGTGAATGAGTTAGACTTGGAGAATGTGTGGCATAATGTTAAGAAAGGTTTAGTGGATGCAGCTACCGAAGTATGTGGTGTTAGTAAGAGAACGAATGAAAGGAAAGACAATACGTTATGGTGGGATGATGAGGTACGTATGGAAGTTGAAGCAAAGAAGAGAGCAGCAATGGCTAGATTTACTAGCGACCAAATCTGGTAATTCTGGCGGTAAGAATGATGAGAATGAAAGAAAAAAGGCAGAGTTTAAACGTTTAAATAAGAGAGTAAAAGAATTAGTTGAAAGGAAAAAGCAAGAAAGAACAGATAGGAATGATAGAAGAATATCGGATAACTTCCAGGCAAATATTAAAATGTTCTGGAAACTCGTAAGAAATACCAGGGGACTTTCAAAACAGCCTAGATTGAATGCGATACGATACGAGAATGGCTGTATCCTGAATGATGAAGTGTTGAGTCTAAAGAGATGGAAGGAATATTTTGAAAGCGAATTTATGAGTGAGGAGAAGTGTGAACTAAATGAAATAGAAATTCCGAAAGAAGATGAAAGAGATAGGGAGATAAGTATAGATGAAATAATGAAAGCAATGAAAAGCATGAAAGTAGGTAAGGCAGCCGGATATGATAGAGTTTCACCCGAAATGCTAAGGGCTGGAGAGGACGTGGTGGCAGGCCTGCTGTACACCTTGTTTAATTTATGTTGGGAACTAAAGCGGGTACCGGGAGACTGCCGCCGTAATAGTCCCAATATATAAAGGAAAAGGGTCACAGCAGGACTGTAAAAACTACCGTGGTATCAGCCTTCTTAGCATTGTGGGAAAACTGTATGCTAAGGTACTAATTGAAAGAGTTATGAAAGAAACTGATGAAAAATTTGGGATGTGCAAGCGGGATTTAGAAAGGGAATGGGGTGTACAGATCAAGTCTTTTCCATGCGCATGATGGCGGAGAAGTTTTTGGCGAAAAACAAAAAAGTTTTTTGTGCGTTCATGGACTTGGAAAAGGCTTATGACAGAGTGGACAGGGATGTGTTATGGCAAACGCTGAACGCATTTAGGTTGAGCGCTGGTTTGATACAGGCATTAAAGTCTCTGTATAGGGACTCGAGTGCTTGTGTTAGAATCAACGGGGTCTACTCGGACTGGTTTGGCATCCATAAAGGTGTCAGACAGGGCTGTGTAGCTTCCCCGTGGCTGTTCAACCTATTTATGGACAGCTGTTTGGAAAATTTGAAAGTTGAAGAATGCGGGTTAAGAATGGGTGAGTTAACCATCAAATGCCTTTTGTACGCCGATGATCAAGTCATACTTGCGTCGTCGGCGGCCGAGTTGCAAATGATGGTTACATTAATGAACAGGTCATTAAAAGAAAGGGGAATGAAAGTGAACGCAAGTAAGACGAAAGTGATGGTTTTTGAAAGAGATGAAAGCAAAACGGTATGTGAAATAAGAATAGAAGGAGAGTTAATTGAGCAAGTGGATGAGTTCGTATATTTGGGA